AACAGATAATACATTGCAGAAAAAAAAAGTAATCTTGGAGACATGATAATATTATTAACAATTCAAATAAAGCATAGAGAGAAAAAAAAGAGAGGCAGAGAGGGTAGAATGTCAGTGCCAAAAAAGACAACATGAAATGTATTAACATCTGAAAATATAGGGAAAATAAAACAAAAATCAAGAATAAGTGGAACATTTAAGAAAAAGTAGCCACCATATTTCCTAGTTTAAAAAATTGACACAAAAAAAATCTAAGCAGGATTATTTCAAAGAAAACCATTCAAGGTACATCATAATTAAATGAGTAAAACCCAATAATATAAAAAGTATTAAGAACAACCAAAGAAAATAGAAAACTTACATTTATATAACAAAAATTATCAGATTTTCTGTTAATTATGTAAATTATTTCAGAAACTATTTCACAACATACTAGAGATTTAAAAAAAGGCATTTCATGATAGAGGACCCAATGAATTAAAACATAAAAGCACTAAATATGCAAGCACCTAATAATGGAACTTCAAAATATATGAAGAAAGAAAACAGATATATCCTTAATTAATGCTGAAGACTTCAACACTTCTTAGCAATTATTGAGAACAACTAGAAAATCAAAAGACATGGAGAAGTCTTAAAAGAGTACTATCAATTTGACCTAAATTTTTAGAAACTGCCATTCAATACATTTATCTTAAGTGCATATAAAACATTCTCTAAAACCAACCATGTTTTTCTATGCCTTCTAATAAATTTCAAGAAGTTCACAAGAATTTACATCATACAAAGTATGTTCCTGGGCCACAACAGAATTAAAAGAAACCTATAAAAGAAATATATCTAAAACATAAAGCAAATATTTGGAAATTAAATAAGTCAAATAAAAAGCTCACATTGGAAATTTTAAAACTCTTTTAACTCGATGTAAATGAACATAAACCAAATAGAATGCAGACAAAGGACAATCCAAAACTAAGTGCTCCTTTAGAAAAAGCATTTATTTGCTCCTAAATTTCAGGAAAAAAAAAAAAAGAGGGGCTATAAGCACAGATCTTTTAAACATTAAAAGACCAGGAATTATAATATACAATTTTATGTCAATAATTTAAACAACTGACATAAAATGGGCAAATTCCTTCCTTGAAAGACATAAACAACAAAAGCTTATTCAAGAAGAAATAATATATATATATGAATAGTCCTCTATCAATTAAGGAAATGAACACATAATTTAAAACTTCTCAACAAATAAACTCCAGGACCAGAGGTCTTCAATGGTGAATTCTACCAAATACTTAAAGAAGAAATAGTTTCATGAGAATAGTTCCAAAAAAAAAGAAGTCCTTCCAAATCACTTTTATAAGATCAACAATGCCAATATAAAAACTATACACAAACAATACAAAAAAACTACAAACTAATGCCAATATTTTCTATAAACACAAATGAAAAAAAAAGTCAACCAAATTTTAGCAAATGAACCTAGAAGGTAAGACATCACGACCAAGTAGTAATTCTCTCAGAAATGATTAGTTGGCTCAATATTCCCAAATCAATCAATCAATGTAATGGACCACATTAACAGACAACTAAATAAAACATATGATGCTCTCAATAGATGCAGAACAAACATTTTTTAAAAATCCAACACCTGTTCACAAAAAAAGGAAAAAGAACTCAGCAAAAGCTGATTTTTAGAAAAATGAAGTTTTCCACATAAGACAAGGACTAAGAGAAGCATATGACCTTTTACTACTTCTATTCAAAACTGCACTGAGAATACTAGCCAGTATAATAAAGCAAGCAAAAGAACCAAAAGGGACATAAATTAAAAAGGAGGAAGTGAAGTAGTCTTTATTTATAGCAGAGAAGAACTACACAGAATATCTGAAGGAATCTACAAAAAGGCCACTAGCATTAATAATGATTTAGCAGAATCAGAAATTACAAAGTTCTAAACAAGAACCAATTATCTTTCTGTATACTAGCAAAAAAATGCTCAGAAACCAATATTTTAAAATTATCATTTATAATAATAAAATATAAAACAAATTAGAGATGAGTTTTAAAAAAACAGGTGTTAAGACCTTTTCAATGTAAACCTTTTCAAGAATACTGATGAGAAAAAGTAAAGAAGACTCAACTGAAAGAAATACCAAGTTCTTCAATGGAAGATTTAATATCCTTAAGTCAATTCTCCCCACATTAATTCCTAGGGAATAAAAGCATTCATAATCAAAATCCTATTAGGCTTTTTTGTAGAAATTGACAAGCTAATTAATTTTATAATTACATAGGAGAAAACTGTAAGAATAACAGACAAAACAACTTTAAAACTGAAGAATAAAGATGGATGATTTACATTACCTAATTTTAAGATTTACTATAAAACCAATAAATAAATAAATAACATTTACTATAAAGCTGCAGTGAGCAAGAAAGTATAGGGTTGTCATAAAGAGAACATCCTTATGTTCTACTAGAAGAACAGAGTCCAGAAATAGATCCACATATAATGGTCAACTGATTTCAAAAAGGTGGCAAAGTAATTAAACAGGAAAATATGGTCTTTTAAAGAAAGGTGCTGGAACTGTCTGATACCCATATTCAAAAAAGTAAAGTCAATCTTTACCTTACACTATATTCAAAAAGCAACTAACAAATGGATTATAAACCTAAACATAACAGCCCAAAGTAATAGTCCAACAGATCTAAATATAATAGATACAACGGAAGGAAAGAAAACAAAGATTATCCAATCCCTGTGACAAACCTCCAATTTCTACTCCAAATTGGGAAAGAATTATAGGGAACTTCCCTAATCTGCAGCTCTCTAGTCAACATGAATTTCTTTCAAAGAAATAAGCATTTTCCATCCAAGAAATACTTGAGCAGCTCCTAAACAAGTACTTAATATTTCAAGTAAAACACACAGAGCCACAGAAAGTCTGCCATGAAGAATAAGCACTGTCATAAGTGCTTGTTAAATTGGTATTTCAAATGATGATCTCTTTCTCCTTTCTGGTTTTTCAGAAGCTGGGAAGCCCCTGTTCATCTATTTCCTGCTAGTCACCCCGTCTGCTGTTTCCACTTTTTTATATACCAAAATTAAAAAAAAAAAAAATCATGTACTGCCTCTGGTACCATCTTCAGGCAGGTCTCATCTCACCTGGATCTTGAAATTCTTTCTATCTCTCTCCTTGGTAATTATTTTTCCTAATCTCATTTTTTCACTAAAGACTCAACACAACAAGTAATAATTGCACATAAAAAAAATCCATCCCTGGAATATGGTGGCTGTGTTCTCCCCTCAGTTAAGCTGATGATGCTGTAGCAACCGAGGTGCTCTTACCAAGGTTGTAGAAAAGAAGGTAAAGCAAACTGAGAAACCATGGACACCTCCAACTATGACAACCTTTATAAAAGAGATGCAAAAAGAAGCCACAGGATTAAGACAGAAAAGGCAACTGTGTAGAGGTGTCACTTGAGAAAGACTTTGAAAAACAGGTAGAATTTTAACACAAGAAAAATGGATGTGGAAGGCATTCCAGGAAGAAGATAAATCAAGAGTGAAATGTCAGAAGTTGAAAATTATGGAGCATATTTGGCTTGGCTGAATCAGGAACAAGATTTCTACATTATCGAAGTAAAAGTTAGCCTCAGATGTTAATTAACGTCTAGTTGGGTCTTTGTCCTTTATGTTTCATTCACTATAACTGGAGGCCAGAGAAAGGCCCTATGGGAAAATGGAAAAATACTGAAGCAAGGCTGAAGAATCAACTGTTGGAACTAGAAACATGGAGATTGGCTAAATTTTCTCTACAGAGGCTATTGTATCCTAGCAAATGGAACATTACTATAATGTCCATGTAATCTTAGTTTGATATTTGCATACATATAGGATTATCTACACATTTAGTATATATGATTCAATTTTTAAATATATGTATGACCTCATACACATCTGTATTTGACTGTATATATAGTCATTCATATTTATACATGCAGACATGGCATGTATGAATACATATATGTGTGTGTATATACAGTATGTCTATATATGTGTGTGTGTGTGTGTGTGTGTATATATATATATATATATATATATATACACACACACAGATCATTAAATAGCAAAAGCTTCTTGAAATGAAAAACAAAAAGTCTGATACCTGTCCCAAATTTTTTACTGAAATATCATACGTTCAATCAATGTTATCTAATATTTAAAATGTAAATGTTAACATATCTTAACACACTGAAGAATATCCCCCTAACATATTTCAAAATTACCTGTTTTAAAATAATCTAGTAGTAATATAATTCATTTCTTTTCCTTTTTAAATAAAAGGCAGAATTCAGATGAAGTTTCACTCAGAAAATTCTGGAAAAGTACCCATCTTATGGACATACTGTGAACATTTACCTAGGTCAACATAGTCTTTTTAATCAAAATAACCTACTCCAGAGCAATATGGGTCAGGATTTAAGGCAACAAATTCAAAATTATATAAAATGTCCACATTTTCAAAAGAGTCCCTAAAACTTGTTTTCAACCCTTCCTCCCACCACTTCTGAGATAAGGTTGTGTTGTCCACTTCCATCTTCCACTTGAAAATCTTTCCTTAGATTATATAACTCACATGCTCTAACCCTCCCTTCCTCCTATTTATTGTCAGAGTAAATATGGATGACCTACTTTAGATTTTCTTCCTGTTTTTTTAAAATAAAGATTAATATAGAATATGGAAGCATAAAAGATTTTTTAAAAATACAGTTTGGGATTAGTTGTGTCAGACAAAGCAAACAAGAAACTGCCATTATGCAAAGTTGAGATTATACGTTTCCACTGGACTTTACCAACTTCCTTAATTGATCTACATTAATCCCCAAAATAACCTCTAAAATGACATCCATCCAACCTCACAAAAACAGCCTGATTTTTTTTAAAGTTTCCATTGTGTTTATTTCATAACACAGAAAAAGGAAAACTGTCTTACTAGAAATGAAGTGTCAACAAATGGTCTTCTTAAATATGATCCTTGCAGAAAATTCTTTGTTCCTTTTTCACAAAATGCAATTCCTTAAAAAAAATATGGATTATTACTCTTGACTCTAAAAAATAATTAAATATATGTTTCATTATGATAAAATTCTAGCACACAACACCACTCCAGGCAGACAGTTACACAAATCCATGCTGAATGACAGAAAATTAAATTAGTTAAAATCATTTGTTTTATTTGGCTAATACAATACAATGCTAGCCAAATGAGTGCTTCTAATGTCACTAATCCATTTTTAAGGAAGTAATACTCAAATGTTTAGTAATATTATCTGTATTGCAATATTCAAAAATTAGCTCCTTAGTTCCCATTCTCCTATCCATCAGATCATATGATAGGCTTTTATTATCTATACGGTGTGTGTACAGCCTACTGCACTTATCAGTTGTGATAAAAATTTTAAACTAGTTTTAGTTAAAAATGTTCACTGTGTTACATAACATTTAGAAAACTATCACTAAATCAGTGATTTGTATCACCGTAAATGTCTCCGATTCTAGCACAAAGTGTATACTTTTACTTTTGACTACCTATCTTTCAAAGGGCAAAATGAATTTTTTTTTTTAATTTTTTATTGTGGGTTGTTTAAAACATTACAAATTTCTTGACATATCATATTCCACAGGGTAAAATGAATTTAAAATAATAAACAAAAAAGTGACCAAAGTAGAAAACTGCTCTCTCAATAACTCAGTTCAATGCTCAATAAAGTAACAGTTGTGAAGCAAGATGCATAAAGAATAACCCAGTCCTGCTACATTCTTACTTGGAGAGAGTAGCAAGGCATTTGGGTAGAAAAGAAAACAATGGTAGAAAATACCTTTTCTTTTCACCCTGGTTGACCAGGACCATTATTATGATGCTAATGCAATAATGAAGAATTACATGATTGGATAATTCAAGCAACCTCAAGTAAATCTGCTTTATCAAATGAAAATGGATAATTTCTGCACAGAAACACCAGTATTAAAAATGTTTCAACAGTCTTAACTATTACAATACTTCAATTTTGTTTTTATTTGAAAAGCAACATGTCCTCCAGAGGGGAAAAATTGCCAAGTATTCTTTTTATATTAACAAATTAAGTAATAAAAACTCAAAATTTAAAAGGTACCAAAATAAGTCTCCCTTTTATTTTTCCCAAGGTAAAAGGAGCTCGCTTCAAAGAGCCAATGTTATACTGAAATGCAGAAAATGAAAAATTCCTCAAACTTAGTTGCATTATTAACTAACTTAACTAAGTTAGTTAATAATGCAAGTTATTAACTAAGTCCAATAATTTCAAGTCCAATAGTATCAAGGTGATACTACTATTCATGAGTTCTCAATCTATAAAGTTAAATTATTATTTTAATATCTATGAGCTTTGTAACCAGCTTTGAATGTCACCATGGAAATTAAAGTTTAGTAATTTCTTCTATTATTAATGCAAATTTAATGTTGAAACATTATGGTACACATTCTTACATCAAAATTTTTTCCTTATTTAATAAATGTACTGTTATTGATTATTTGTGCTTCATATAAAGTTCTCCAATAGTTTCTAAAAGGAAAACATTAAAAATCAAGTTTTAAAGGTTCTTTTATAATAATGAAACACACTGCCACTTTCAAAAACTAACACCAAACTAAAATATTAATGCTGTAGCCAATTATCATAAAATTTCATATAACTGAAAAATATCATTGCTTCTGTCTATCCAAAAGCAAGAGGCTTCTAGTTGCTATCCCTTCTCACCCTCTACTATCCATTAATCTAAACTGTCCTTAACCTGGACTAGAAGCCAGACTTTAAATTTTTATCTCTACCTGGAAATTAACTTCCCCTTTATCTCTAAAATGGGTCAAAGGTCCAGTTCAATGGCATCTTCTATGAAGCCAACCCCAGGAAACATTTACTGTCATCATCACTTCCAGGGGGCAAAATTTTTACAGTTAGTTTTGCAAGTGTGAGCTTTCTCTATTATACTATATATGCTTTTTATTTAAAAAGGTAACTTTGTATTTTGTTCATTTTTATATCCTTAATATGTAGTACACATTTCACTGTAATTCATTCAGACTATATTTACTGATAATCTAACAGATTCCAGGCTATTTTTTTTAAGAGAGAGAGAAAGAAAGAATTTTTTAATATTTATTTTTTAGTTTTCGGTGGACATAACATCTTCATTTTATTTTTTTAATGTGGTGCTGAGGATCAAACCCAGTGCCCACGCATACCAGGCAAGCGCACTACCGCTTGAGCCACATCCCCAGCCCCTCCAGGCATTTTTCTAGTTGCTAGGAAGACATTCCTACCCCTATAGCTGACCTCATGAAGTTTACACTCTAGTGGGGGAGCACTGTAATACAAGGTAAATGACAAATATAGAATACGAATACACACACACACACACACACACACACACACACACATATAGTTCTTAATAAATATCAAAAAATAAAAATAAAAAAAGCAGGAAAGGAAGAACTGACAGAGGAAGGATATTAAAATTACAGAAAAAGTATCCAGGGAAGGCCTAATGCAATAACAACTGCAAAAGCATCAGTAATATGTAGGTATTATGTTATGATAAATCAGTATACTAATTGTTTTACATATATTTACTGATATAAGTCCAAAACCAAATCTACTGTTGCATTATTATCTTCAAACAGAAACTGAAATAATGAAATGACTTTGCAAGTCACTAAACTAGTGAAGTGGCAAAGCTAGGGTTAAAATTTAGGCATTAACTGATATATAATCACAATTCAGTTAATACTTTTGTTGAATAAACCAAACAAGTAAAAATGAATACCTACTACAGCAATAAATTTAAAAAATAGCCAAACAAATCTGTCTCAGAAAACCAATTTTAGTAGCTTCAGATACATACTGCACATCAAAAATTATAGATGACAGATACCATGACAAATAGGTAACTGCTATCAACAAAAATATTTATAAATACTGCAAATTTCTCAATACCTTTTAAAATATATTTTGTTTCTATGAGACAATTACCAGGACTAAAAACAAAGACAATATCATGGATAAGTGGGATATTGTGATACACAAGAAATATATGTATGTGGTCTCTGCCCCTGGTTTCTGGTACAGGATCCATAAATCCCTTGGAATCTCTGGAGTAATAATCATGTCTTTTGTATGCTACTGAAATTATTTTGACTAGGGTTCCTAGATAGCTTCATGATATGCACTGGTCACAAGAAAGACTAAGGTTTAGACTTTCAGCTGCAAACTCTCTGGGCTAGGAAGAAGTGCTAGAGGTTAAGTTGATCACTATGGCCAAAGATCTCGTCAATTATGGTAATGGAGGCACCCTTAAAAACCAAAAGGAAAAGATTTGGAGGACATAATAAACACATGGGGATGCCCCACAGGTAGCATTTCAGAACAAAGTGCTAAACTCCTTCCCACATTCATTGCCCTATGCATCTCTTCTATCTGGCTGTTAATCTGTATCCTTTGTAAAATCCTTAACAACATCCTTTATAGGCTGAGCATCCCTAATTCGAAAATCCAAAATCAGAAACATTTTTAGAACCAGCCATTACCCCACAAGTAGAAAATTCCATACCTCATCTCTTGTGATGGATGAAAATCAAAACACAAGCACACACAAAATACTGGATAAAATCACCTTCAGGCTATGTGTATGAGGTGTACATGAAACAAAAATGAATTCTGAACTTAGACTTGGATTCCATTCCTAAGATCTCATTATGTAAATGCAAATATTCCAAAATTTGAAAAAAAAAATCTAAAATTTGAAACAATCTTGGTTCCATGCTTAACAGATAAGGAGTATTCAATCTTTATGATAAATGAGTAAACATGTGTTTCCCTGCCTTCTGCGAGCTGTTCTAGCAAATTAATTAAACCCAGAGAGAGGGTTGTGGGAACCTCTGATTTATAATCAGTTGGTCAGAAGTATAGATTACAACCTGGGACTTGCAATTAGTATCAGAAGTCTTATGGGACTGAGCCCAAAAACTGTGGTGCTGATGCCCTCTCGAGATAGTATAAGAATTAAACTAGGGTCGTGGTTGTGGCTCAGCAGTGGAGCGTTCACCTAGCACATGCAAGGCCCTGGGTTCGATCCTCAGCACCACATAAAAATTAATAAATAAATAAAGGTATTGTGTCAAACTACAACTAAAATATTAAAAAAAAATAAAAAGAAAGTAAAGGACAGCACATGGTTTCCACTGGAGATTTGCACAGTGTGTGGGGGGAAAAAATTCTCACAAACATTTTGGTGACCAGAGTTTAAGTACTGTGTGGTGAGTAATGAGGTAATAATAATAATAATAATAATAATAATAATAATAATAGTAATAATAATGTAATAAGGTAATAAGAGCAAGAAAAACACATTTTTCCCTACCTTAAACAAAAAGTCACTTAAAATGTGTTTAAATAGAAGATACTATGAAAGAAATGAGACCTCTGAATGCATTATTATTGCAAAAATAGTTAAATGTTTTATACTGTGGTACAAGTTAGTCGGCTTCCAATTATTCACATTAGTAAGAAAGGTTAAGTAAAACGACCACATCAGCCTATGGTACTTTAAACACTCAAACCTATCTCATAGTTGGTAATTATCAAAATCTCACTGGACACCACTGTCCTGGGCACAATGCAATGCAAAAGAAAACAAATTTCCATATGAAAACATGCAGAAAAGTCAGTCCAAATTAAAACAATTCAAAAGTCAAAAATAAAACTGGGTAAAAAAAAAATAAGCAAAAAGACACATGCATAATTCATACACAAAATAATATATATTTGCTTAATTATGAATTTCATTTGTAATCAGAACATGCTTAAGAGCAATGGTATTTTTTATTCAAATAAGAGTCGGTTCATATGGACACCCAACTAACTCATGCCTTAGAAAGATTTTAACTACCAGCCATAATGTACTAATTGGTACCAGACATATTCTCCCACTGAACTCAACTAGAAAACTGAGCCACATATAAAATTATAATGTTAAAACAT